TAAGTGCCAACTTTTTTGCCTTGATGTGTTGTATGTTTTTTTCTTTTTCTGATCTTAAATTCTTTCAATCCTAAGCAACGCCTGATGTGGTTATTAATCTAAATCTTGATTCCCTTGCATAGCATACTATTATTTATTTCATTTTAATTGTTAGTCAGAACACACAAAAGAAATCTGACTTTCCCAAATGGTGAAAACCACTGTGTATTTGCCATCTTGAAAGTAATTCATTCACTACTTTTCATCATGTTTATTTCTTTGGAATCTCCTGTGAAACCTGCTAGAACCCAAAGAAGTAATTCAAAAAAAAAAAGGAAAGATTACTTTGTGCACGTCTGTAGTGCGTGGATAAACCTAGCCGTTGTCGTTTCAAAAAATATCAAACCAGACGAAAAGAAGAATTTGTCAGCTTTACAAAATGACAATTACGAAGCTGAAATGAACATCGTGGCTAGAAAGCCTTCATCAGAATATAGTACAAAGAGACAATGGCTACAATTGCAGCAAAAACTCATTTATACTGTCATAAACAAAACTGATCTGGATGACATAAGATGTGTTGGCCATCTTGAGAGAATGCCCTGGTGCCAACTGCTACAGGCAGCCATGATTAAGAAATACAATAAACGCAAAGCAAGGAAAGAGCACACAATATAAGGAATGGCCGCATCAAAAGGAGCCTGAAATAAAAAAAAGATCGAACAATGCAATGAATTAGAAATCACTTGACGTCATGAGACTGATAAAGATAGATAGATAGATGACTCTGTATTGGCACATCCTTGAAAGAAACAAGCAGGGCGTCTCCAAACAGGAACTGCAACGGGAAACAAATGGATTACGAAGCGAGGGTATAGAAGAAAAGCCATAAAACTAAAGTCGATGGGAAAGGCGAACGGTGTTGGTCTGAATTCTGTCCGATATCGGCAGTACAAAACGGAATGGGGAATAGGTTACAAGCCCCCATCTGATAGAGAGGCAGAAGAGACTGATGATGATGATGATGATGATGCTGACAACGAAGTTCTTCAAAAGATCAACAACATGGTGATATTGACCAGATGATGATTATAAATGATAGCAAAGTTGATCATTATTTCTGCTGTGTAAATCACAAGAGGCGTGAGAATATGGCTTCGCATCTCTCTCTCTCTCTCTCTCTCTCTCTCTCTCTCTCTCTCTCTCTCTCTCTCTTGCTCTAACTCTCTCTCTCTCTCTTTTTTTTTCTTTCCCGTTTTCATTCTCTTTTTCTCTCTTTCTCGCTCTTTCTCTCTTTCTCTCTTTTTCTCTTTCTCCGTCGCTCTCTCCTTCCCAGATGAATGGCTGGCATCTCAGCGGTTTTAAAGAAACTGATGAACATTCAATGAGATAAATTTAACAAAAAGAGAAAAGAACTCAAGAAATGTCTGGACAGCCGCTGATATCAACAGTCATAAGATAAATAAGTTAGCGCTCTACTGGCCCCATCCTGAGGAGGACTGAACAGACAGGCACTTGAATGGGAAACACACAAACTGGGGAGACGCAATGTCGTTCAAAAAAATCTATAAAACAAAAGTGGATAAGAATGGTCAAAAGATGCTGCTCTGGATCCCATCCATGATTTTGGAACAATCACGCAGGATGGAACGGCATAGGATGATTAAACTGCGAGCCTTGTGTGGCTTACAAGGGCACAACAAGATGATGATGAGATGATGATGATAACTATGATGAGATGATGATGATAATGAGATGATGATGATGAGATGATGATAACTATGATGAGATGATGATGATGATAATGAGATGATGATAACTATGATGAGATGATGATGATAATAATGAGATAATGACGATAACTATGATGAGATGATGATGATAATGAGATGATGATCATGAGATGATGATGATGATAACTATGATGAGATGATGATGGTAATGAGATGATGACGATAACGATGATGATTATGGTCTCAGCGATTGACAACATTATATTGACGTTTTAACTAAAAATAAAGAAAATATTTACAATCTATAACCACGCAAAAACATGGAACAAAAGTTCAATGAATGGTGTCCCGTCGTGTACTGTCCCGTCGTGTACTGTCCCGTCGTGAACTGTGTCCCGTCGTGACCTGTGTCCTGTCATGAATTGTGTCCCGTCGTGAACTGTGTCCCGTCGTGAACTGTGTCCCTATCGTGAACTGTGTCCTGTCATGAACTGCGTCCCTGTCGTGAACTGTGTCCCAGTCGTGAACTGTGTCCCTGTCGTGAACTGTGTCCCTGTCGTGAACTGTGTCCTGTCATGAACTGCGTCCCTGTCGTGAACTGTGTCCCTGTCGTGAACTGTGTCCCTGTCGTGAACTGTGTCCCTGTCGTGAACTGTGTCCCTGTCGTGAACTGTGTCCCTGTCGTGAACTGTGTCCCTGTCGTGAACTGTGTCCCTGTCGTGAACTGTGTCCCTGTCGTGAACTGTGTCCCTGTCGTGAACTGTGTCCCTGTCGTGAACTGTGTCCCTGTCGTGAACTGTGTCCCGTCGTGAACTGTGTCCCTGTCGTGAACTGTGTCCCTGTCGTGAACTGTGTCCAGTCGTGAACTATGTCCAGTCGTGAACTATGTCCAGTCGTGAACTGTGCCCTGTCGTGAACTATGTCCAGTCGGGAACTGTGTCCTGTCGTGAACTATGTCCAGTCGTGAACTGTGTCCTGTCGTGAACTATGTCCAGTCGTGAACTGTGTCCCTGTCGTGAACTGTGTCCAGTCGTGAACTGTGTCCCTGTCGTGAACTGTGTCCCTGTCGTGAACTGTGTCCCTGTCGTGAACTGTGTCCCTATCGTGAACTGTGTCCCTGTCGTGAACTGTGTCCTGTCGTGAACTGTGTCCAGTCGTGAACTGTGTCCCTGTCGTGAACTGTGTCCTGTCGTGAACTGTGTCCCTGTCGTGAACTGTGTCCCTATCGTGAACTGTGTCCCTGTCGTGAACTGTGTCCCTGTCGTGAACTGTGTCCCTGTCGTGAACTGTGTCCCGTCGTGTACTGTGTCCCTGTCGTGAACTGTGTCCTGTCGTGAACTGTGTCAAGTCGTGAACTGTGTCCCTGTCGTGAACTGTGTCCTGTCGTGAACTGTGTCCCTGTCGTGAACTGTGTCCCGTCGTGAACTGTGTCCAGTCGTGAACTGTGTCCAGTCGTGAACTGTGTCCCGTCGTGAACTGTGTCCAGTCGTGAACTGTGTCCAGTCGTGAACTGTGTCCCGTCGTGAACTGTGTCCCTGTCGTGAACTGTGTCCCTGTCGTGAACTGTGTCCAGTCGTGAACTGTGTTCCTGTCGTGAACTGTGTCCCGTCGTGAACTGTGTCCCGTCGTGAACTGTGTCCCTGTCGTGAACTGTGTCCCTGTCGTGAACTGTGTCCCGTCGTGAACTGTGTCCAGTCGTGAACTGTGTCCCTGTCGTGAACTGTGTCCCTATCGTGAACTGTGTCCCTATCGTGAACTGTGTCCCTGTCGTGAACTGTGTCCCTATCGTGAACTGTGTCCCTATCGTGAACTGTGTCCCTGTCGTGAACTGTGTCCCTATCGTGAACTGTGTCCCTATCGTGAACTGTGTCCCTATCGTGAACTGTGTCCCTGTCGTGAACTGTGTCCCTGTCGTGAACTATGTCCAGTCGTGAACTGTGTTCCTGTCGTGAACTGTGTCCCTGTCGTGAACTGTGTCCCGTCGTGAACTGTGTCCAGTCGTGAACTGTGTCCCTGTCGTGAACTGTGTCCCTGTCATGAACTGTGTCCCTGTCGTGAACTGTGTCCCTGTCATGAACTGTGTCCCTGTCGTGAACTGTGTCCAGTCGTGAACTGTGTTCCTGTCGTGAACTGTGTCCCTGTCGTGAACTGTGTCCCGTCATGAACTGTGTCCAGTCGTGAACTGTGTCCTGTCGTGAACTGTGTCCCTGTCGTGAACTGCGTCCATTCGTGAATTGTGTCCCTGTCGTGAACTGTGTCCCTGTCGTGAACTGTGTTCCTGTCGTGAACTGTGTCCAGTCGTGAACTGTGTCCCGTCGTGAACTGTGTCCCTGTCGTGAACTGTGTCCAGTCGTGAACTGTGTCCAGTCGTGAACTGTGTCCCTGTCGTGAACTGTGTCCCTGTCGTGAACTGTGTCCCTGTCGTGAACTGTGTCCCTGTCGTGAACTGTGTCCAGTCGTGAATTGTGTCCCGTCGTGAACTGTGTTCCTGTCGTGAACTGTGTCCCGTCGTGAACTGTGTCCCTGTCGTGAACTGTGTCCCTGTCGTGAACTGTGTCCAGTCGTGAACTGCGTCCCGTCGTGAACTGTGTCCCTGTCGTGAACTGTGTCCCTGTCGTGAACTGTGTCCCGTCGTGAACTGTGTCCCAGTCGTGAACTGTGTCCCTGTCGTGAACTGTGTCCCTGTCGTGAACTGCGTCCTGTCGTGAACTGTGTCCCAGTCGTGAACTGTGTCCCAGTCGTGAACTGTGTCCCTGTCGTGAACTGCGTCCCGTCGTGAACTGTGTCCCTGTCGTAAACTGTGTCCCTGTCGTGAACTGCGTCCCGTCGTGAACTGTGTCCCGTCGTGAACTTTATGTCCTGTCGTGAACTGTGTCCAGTCGTGAACTGTGTCCAGTCGTGAACTGTGTCCCTGTCGTGAACTGTGTCCCTATCGTGAACTGTGTCCAGTCGTGAACTGTGTCCCTGTCGTGAACTGTGTCCCTGTCGTGAACTGTGTCCCTGTCGTGAACTGTGTCCAGTCGTGGGTATACAGATTGACTAGATGGCATATCAGCATAGTGCTTTAAATTTTAATGAAATAAATTATTAGTTTTTTTTTCCCGTTCGTATTAGTATTTGTAAACAAAGTGCATCGTTCTTTTCTCGTTTGGCGTTAAATAGTGGCGGCAACATTTAACTGACATACATTTCTTTTTGGATTTTTACTTTAACATTAAAATTAGCTACTTCCTCTTCAGAATATTTGGTAACCGACTAACATTATTTGTTTTTTATTATGTTGCTAGG